TCCTATATTTGAGTTTACTTTAGATAGTAAAGTAATGTCATGAAAATAAAATATGGTTAACTTTTAATTCTTTTACGTATAGTGATGATCAATCGATCAGCGGGTCGCCAATTGGCTTTACTGTACTTATTTTCCATTTATCTATGGCTAAGCTATGAAATTAGGGATTGATTTATGGTGTTTTTAGTTTGTTACTCAAATTCCAATTTCGAATTTGCATTTTATTCATGTTCGCCAATTCATGTTTCGAATTTATGGTTCTTTTTTGACTTTCCGGGTTCTTCTATAAAACTCATCTGGGTTTCATTTTTATTGTTACACTTATATTTTCATGAATTCGTGTTTATTACTTCAATTATCCGAACTTTAATTTTCCAATATGGAGAGTAGTACGTTATATTCTTCCTTCCTAACTGTTTATTCATTTTTATCCGATTAAGAATGGTACCGCAGCAGAGAGAAATAGATAATTCACCAAAAAATTTGGTAATTAATGTTATACTCCGTAAACTTGCAAAATTAGGAAATTGACGACCTCTGAATGGCTAACACGCTTCTAATTACAAATATGGTCGTCTTCTTTCATTTTTGAAAACTTCATTCCATTGATGTGTTTTTCCATTTCTTTTGCTTGAGCTCAGGTAATAAATTAAAAGTATAAAATAAAATTATTTTAAACAAGCGTGAACAAGTTTCGGATATAACTTTTAAAATTGGAACTTTCTTTTGTTTTCTCTTCACTTTTCTTACGCATCTTTCCGTTTTCAACTATACTTTGGACTTTTAGTTGCAACATTGGACTTTTTGCACTATTCACATGTTCTACTTTGACTACATTTTATTAATTGATGTATAATAAATTAAATATTTAAAAAATATTGTTACATTCTTCTCATTCTAAATTTTCAAAATATGATTTTTTTTAATTTTTTTACTAATAAGAAATAAAAGATATTAATGGTCAAACTTGTGCATTGGCAAACGTGAAATGTTGACTGTTGCAATTAAAAAAGAACGGAGGAAGTATGTATTACTTTCCATGTGTTTTGTGAGTTCAAAACTGATTTTGGCCTTTTAATATGAAGATTTTACTTGCAAAGTAAAGTAAGGTACCTTAATCATGTCAGAAGAAGAATAAATAGCGTATTAGGGCATCCCATTCATGAGTTTATTTGAAGATCAATTGGATGATATGTAAGATTATTTTAAAGATTATTATTTTGAGTGAGAGAATATTTAGTGAGATTATTGAAAAAGAAAATCTGGTATCAAGATTCAAATCCTGGATTATTTTAGATTGTAGTTAAATTACATTTAATGCATGTCCAGAAAAAACTGATAATTTGAGTATATTATTGTAGATGAAGAGTTTTAAGCATTGAGATTATTTAGAATTTATTGAATAAATGTGATGTGTCAATGATATGTAATAAAAAAATCGTTTATTTAGAAAGCATGAATGGAGATGCTCTTAGGAGATAATAAATACGCTATTGAGTAAGATTTTACTTAGCTATTGAGTATTTGAATATTCAAGTTTGTGTTAAAGAGACTACTTAATCATGTAGTCTCTCAACAATCAAGATTTTGCACCACACAAGAACGAGACTGAAAAGATCTTAAAAAGAAAAGGCGGTAGATGTTTGGTAAAAAGCTGACTGTTTGATTTAGTTCGGTTTGGAATACAAGCTGTTAGGACTAATTAATACTCCGTACTAAAAGTCACGGGCTTTTCTTAGATGCTACTCTCGATAGCATCTCAAAAAAGATCTTTTAATTTTTGAAAATCTCTTAAATATTGTTATGTCAAACATACAACTAGAAGCTTATAGAGACTTTTTGAACAGTACAAAAGCTAGAAGACGGATTCTTATACCTATGAAACATAGCCTTAGACTCAATTTCTCACGAACTGGAACAAAAATTTGGTACGAAAGTTTTCCTGACAACAAAAAGATTGATAGAGATTTTGAACAAATTCACCATGAGGATTAATCCTTACATAATCATTTTATCTCAAAAAATTGGCACGAATCTTTTACGATTGAACAAGGGTGTACTGTATTGGGGCCGAATGGCCCTACCCTAATTTTTCATGCCAAGTCATTTCATAATCAATAAAAATAAAATAACAACATGTGAAACCAAAGTGAAAGTTTTTAAGCAAGTTCCTATAATAATTGTCTTTTTCTCTTTTTTGCCTAAGATATATCTAATGAAGTGGTTTTTTTTGTCAATGTTGTAGCATTTGATCATCTTAGATTGAGGATTGGGGGTTCTTTGCAAGACCAAGTGTTGTACAAGGTTGGGTATGGAGTGAACAACTGCCAAGACTTCAACAGAACGGACGATGACATGTTTGGCTTCACCGGTGGTTGCCTTCGCATGGAGAAATGGGATGAGTTACATGAGTTGTTCAACAAAACCGGGTGAGTAATTAATAATAATGTGTTTTAAACTATTTCACATATATATAAACATAAACACATAGATACATACATATATATGTATATAATGTTCAATCATGCTTCATGTACACGTTTTATGTACACGTCATTTTACACGCTGACTGAATTGTATATGCACAAAAAAAGAATTCCATTTTATGAAGGGAATTGTTTTACGCTCTCACGAAGTTTTTTATCCGTGCCAAGACAAAAGAAGTTGTCCGTGTACACAAAACGTGTTTTTAAAGCATTTTCTTATAGTGTTGAAGTTGATTAATTACAAATGTGTTATGTGTGCAGTGCTATTATGACTTTCGGCTTGAACGCTTTATTGGGAAGGCAGAAGTCTAAAAATGGTACTACCCTTTGGGTGGGTGATTGGAACTCCCAAAATGCTAGGGATCTTATGGAATACACTGTGTCCCAGGGGTATAGAGTTGATTCTTATGAACTTGGTAAGATGAATTGAGCTCTTGTTTAATTCTTGTACACTCAATAAGACAAAACGATGAGACAAATAATCAAATCACAATAGCAACTTGGCTTTGATACTACAATATCACCTCTAGAACATTGTGAATTGATTTAGCCGATGGGCGTAGCTAGCCGGTAGATAGGGGGTGCCACAACGATAAGTCCCAGGTTTCATAATAAGTGTCATGAAATGTGATTATGTAAGATTTCATAGGGTCTCTGTAAGTACTTGGGGCAGAACCTCACTCCGCTATATGTCAGCCTGCGATTAAATTCTAACTTACATCATTCCAATTAACTATCCGTTAGAAATGTGGTGTCATCCTTTTGTAAATTGATTTCATATTTTACATTACCAAAAGGACCTTCTACACATATAAACACATAATTACATATTTATTCTCCTTAATAGTGGGATAAGCCTTTACAAAATACGACTCTGTACATTTCTTGTTGAGACATACTTCATTGCGATATTTATTGCAGGGAATGAATTGTGTGGCACCGGAGTGGCCGCAAGAGTTGAGGCAGATCAATATGCAAAAGATATGATGACTCTAAAGAAGCTTGTAGAAGAGATTCACCCGGATCCAACAACCAGACCAAAGGTTTTGGGTCCGGGTGGATTTTATGAGGAGAAGTGGTTTAACACCTTCCTTCAAACTGCAGGTCCTAATGTTATTGAAGCTTTGACACACCACGTCTACAACCTTGGCTCAGGTTAGTAATCAAATTTATACAGAATTAGTGTTTAAGTATTGCTAAAGAGTCATAAAATGCATATTTTATCACATAAGCTAAACTGCATTTATTTTACATATTAATTGTGTACATGTTATTTAAATCTCTCTCTGTTTTTAGTAGTTTTAACTTGCTAAAAGTGAGATGCATTTCCTCACAAATCTCACATTTGAATAGTGGGTTTTAATAGACCTTGTGTTTTTGGTCATAATGAAACTAAATTGGTTTTCATGAGTCACTTTCTGGAGCATTTAACTCTTGTGGTTGAACTAAAGGAGTAGAACTCATATTGCTGTTTTGCAGGAGATGACAAAAATCTTATCAATAAGATCCAAGACCCATACTATCTTGATCAGGTTGCACAGACATACAAGGATGTCTCCACCAGCGTCCAACGTTTCGGCCCATGGACCGAAGCTTGGGTAGGAGAATCGGGTGGTGCTTACAACAGTGGTGGTAAAGATGTTTCTCATTACTTTGCTGATGGCTTCTGGTAACATATCTTTCACAATTTCCCTTGTAGATTTTTTTTGGATTCAGAAAGTAAACGTTAAAGAATGGAAAATTTGACATTGTACCGAATATTTTCATCCAGCCTCATTGAAAGTTGTAAGAGAAAAGATACTTCTTAGATTTCACATGTAACATATATAGACTGATAGACATTTCACCATACATTTTGAGATGATAAAAGTTAACTTTTCTCCAAAAATAGACAATTGTATTTAAATTTACATATTCAGAAAATGCATTTAAAGTAATTATTGAGAATATAAAAAAAATTATTCAGGTATGAAATCAAATACTCCCTCCGGTTTTTAATAAACTTCACACTTTCCTTTTTGGGATGGTCTAAAATAAACTTCACACTTCCTTATTTCCTTTTTTTGGCAAAGAAATCTACATCAAAACAGTGCCAAACAGTGTCAAACAGTGTCTCAACAGTGCCAAACAGTGTCTCTACAGTACCAAACAGTGCCTCAACAGTGTACTCTACAGTAAAGTCAAATTTCTTTCCTTATTTTGTGTGAAGTCAAACTGTGAAGATTAAAAAAAACCGGAGGTAGTATTTGATGGATTATATGGACTCCGACCCCCCCAGTATGCCGACTACTAGGCCTGGACAGCGGCCCACACACGTTTAGCGGATATCATTAATATTATTGTACATTATTATTATTATTATTATTATTATTATTATTATTATTATTCAGATGTTCTAGATTAACTTTTTATACTATCAGTCCATTTATGTAACCGGGTCTGTCAGGCCCATATTAGAGGCCCAGACCCGGATTTTCTCTATATATACTACTCCTTATAGGAGGCTTGTAACTCATACAACCAATATTCATTCACAATATACAATTTCTTCATTTTCTTCTCCTACATTCTTGCTCAAACTCTCTTTAGTATAGATTATGGGTATCAATTATCCAACAATGGTGCTCTCGTTGAGAGGTTGAACACAATCAAGTGAGAAAACCTCCCCAAATAACCAAAAATCATTCCAATCACAACAAAACCAGCCATAAACTGTTCTGGAAATTGCAAAAAAAAGAACGACGAGATGAATCTGCCACTTCAGACCGGAGAGGTCCCAGCTCTGACCGGAGAATGGTCATCGTCCAAGCCATCGCCTACCGCCGCACCTGGCCTAGGAACAAACGCGGAGGTCGCCGTCAAGATCTCACGTGCCCTGCTTCAGGACACGTCACTGCTCCGGATCTGATTCTCCAAGGATGGTCTGTCATCAATGGCCGCCTGGGATCACCTAGAAGAGATGAACGATCCCGCGTCCAGTTTCTCCACCTTCGCCACAGTGACAATAGACGCTTGAAGTTTGCTTCTCCGCCCATTCCTCCACCTCAGTCCCAGCGCCGCCCAGCTCCTGGCTGCTCCGCCGCGTCTCCGGTCGCCATCGCAGATCGAAGGTTGGAGCCAGGTCCAGGACTGGCATCTTCATGGTCACCTCGGTTGCTGGAGCTCGGCCTCAAACATCTTCCATTAATGGCCACAACGAGCTCCCGGTGCAAAGCCTCCAGTCCAAATCTCGCCGGAGGCAGGTCAACGTGGCACGAAACAGCTTCTGTTCCGGCGAGCCCTCTTCCACTCTCCGACGACGACGACCAAAGATATTACCAACAACGGTCCGAGCAGGCGACATTTGAGCACGAGGACCGGCAGTGCTCGATGATGGAAGGGGTCGGAGGCCACTTCCTTCTGACCGACGGCCACCATCTGCCTCTCTCGCCTCCATTTCCGGCGGCAGAAAAGGTGGGGCGCATCCTCAGACTGTCCTTGCCCTGCCGCGACCACAATTTCCACCGGCAGGAATTGACCCGCATGTGCGGACTGCATCTGGGTTGGTAGAAAGGCTCTTCATCTGCCTTTTCCAAAAGATTAGCTCCGCAGAAGTGCTTTGGTCTCAAGCTGACCACGTCGGCAAGATTGAAGCAAAGAAATGAAAGGCCAATTTCCTTTCAAGCTTAAACCGAGGGCAGCGTATTTTTTTTGACAGAATAATTGGGATCTTTGGCTCTTGCAAGGATGTGGGAAATTTTGACCAAGTCAAAATTGCAAAAAGGGAATCCAATCAATTTCAAAATTGATAGCAGTGGGTTACACTACATGTTATCCAACTGAGCTTTTGAACGGGCCCAATTTCAACATCAGCCCAATATTTTAGCCCAAGCAGTCCAATATTTCAGCCCACTTCAAAAAGATAAGTACTCTTTAATTTTCATATTATTTATTTTTATTTAAGTTAATTTTTTGTCGGGCGAGCATCACACTATCACGCACTTATGATCAAATACCTAGTAGAGTGTGGCTTGAGACCCATCACTAGGATTTAAAGCCCTGACTCCTTAGGCACAAAGCTCTGTCTCCTCAGGCACAAAGCCCCGACCAAGTCGGGCATGAAGACAAAACCCCGACCAAGTCGGGTACGAAGACCGGTCTTAGTCATTCCTCGAGTGGCGACCGTTGCTTACGAATGGCTCACACATCCATTCTACTAAGTATTTTATCATTACATTAACAATTCACATCTCCACTTGTTTCAAGTGACGAACTCCCGATCGGGAACATAAATCCCAAGAAATTTTTTTTATATGTATGATAAATGTGTAGGTACGAAGATGACTTTACTCATTTTCACCTCGTCTCCAGTCGCCTCAAAGAGTAGGGACTGGGGGACTGAGGGGTCAGAGTTTCTAGATGAGCAGAAAATATCACGCAAGAGCAGGAACGAGAGCTGAGTCAGTTGAAGAGGAGCTGAGCTAGATTGATTATGCCGGAGGGGATTTACCTTCCTTGTTTCATGTTGGGGGCGCTAGGTGTACTCTTTTTCCCTTTATTAGGATTTTTTCCCACTGGGTTTTTCCTAGTAAAGGTTTTTAACGAGGCACCTCCCCATAATGGACAAGGGTGGTGGTCCCCCGGCCGAAGAGGAAGAACATTGCAGATACAGTTTGGACTACTCCCTTTCGCCTCGAGTACTCTCGACTCAGGGAGTGGGGGACTCCTGATGGATTATATGGACTCCGACCCCCCCAGTATGCCGACTACTAGGCCTGGACAGCGGCCCACACACGTTTAGCGGATATCATTAATATTATTGTACATTATTATTATTATTATTATTATTATTATTATTATTATTATTATTATTATTATTATTCAGATGTTCTAGATTAACTTTTTATACTATCAGTCCATTTGTGTAACCGGGTCTGTCAGGTCCATATTAGAGGCCCAGACCCGGATTTTCCCTATATATACTCCTTATAGGAGGCTTGTAACTCATACCACCAATATTCATTCACAATATACAATTTCTTCATTTTCTTCTCCTACATTCTTGCTCAAACTCTCTTTAGTATAGATTATGGGTATCAATTATCCAGCAGTATTAAAGAGTGTAACAACTTTATATTGTGTTGGACACTTGGAGGGAGTATCTTATTTGAATTTAGTATTGTATCTTTTGCCTTCACACAATTTTAGGTTAGCTAAGAGAAGAATAACAAAAATTTTACTTTATAGGTACTTGGATCAATTAGGAATGACATCAACCTTCAACCACAAGGTGTACTGCAGACAAGCTTTGATTGGTGGAAACTATGCTCTGCTGAACACAACAACTTTCATCCCAAATCCAGATTACTATGGTGCCCTCTTGTGGAATCGCTTGATGGGCAAGAAAGTATTGGCTGTATCCCACAATAGCTCTCCTTATCTCCGAGCTTACACTCATTGTTCTAGACATGGAGTAAGATTTCCAGTTCTTTTCTCTTAATGTTAAAATTATCCTACATTATTAAATGTTACTATTAAAAAATAGATTTCCCCTCATAATAATAATCTCAAACCAAGCAATGTTATATGGAGTATTAGACTAAACTTAAATTGATTAGACCGGACTATGTCAGACCAGAACTAGATAATAATAGAATAAATAATATCATACGTTAATTAATCTCAAACCAAACAATATTATTTGTTGACTTGCTGAGGTTCACTTGGTATTGTGTTTTCTGTTGAAAAAGGCTTTTATATGTCCGAAGTCGTAACACCACTTGAAGCAAAGTGTAGTTTGGACAAAAGATGACTTTTTGAAATAAGGTCAATCGTTGATATGAAAGGCTAAAAGTCACCATAATGCAAATGTAAGTTGATAGTGGTTTTTAAAATACGATACAACGGAGGTTTATGAGACCATATTAGCTCATATTTAAAAATCCAGTGTTCAGAACAGACTAGAAAATTTTAGTCCAATTAAAAACATCACAAAATACCGATAAATTACTCTGTATTTACCAATATTAAATAATTTGGATTGAGTGATGTGTATGTAGTGGTTCATTTAAGCGTTTGTTTGTTTGTTACAGAGCGGAGTAGCTATACTATTGATAAATTTGTCGAACTCCACAACCTTTGAGGTCTTCCCCAGAAATGATATGAATTTGTACCCTGGAAATGACATGAATCCTGGGACTCCTCAAAGTCTTCAAAGTACTGACAATATGCCTGAGAGGGAAGAATACCATCTGACCCCAGAAGGAGGGAACATCCAGACTGATGCTGTTCTACTAAATGGAACTCCATTGAAGCTCACCAAAGACTATGATATTCCCACTTTGAACCCAAAATTGGTTGACTCTACCTTACCCATCACTGTTCAACCTGATTCCATTGTCTTTGCCACCCTTAAAGGCTTTAAAGCCCCTGCTTGTGCTTAGAAAGTATCATTTCTGTTATTTTGCTTAGCTTAGGTTTTATTTGTTTCTCAGTAGCTTGAACCATAAACCATTAGCATTTGTTTACATTTTTCTATTGCTTAATTTTGTTAATTAGTCAATGGAATGAAGAAACATTTTAGTATCAGTTCACTTCATTTAATTAGGGATGGACCCGGGCCGGGCCGGTTCAGGCCTGGGCCCGGCCGGGCTTTTTTTTGGGGAAGGAAGAACCGGAACTGGCCCGGGTAGGCAGCGGTTCCGGGCCGGGCCGGTTCACTTCTTAATTTTTTTAATTTTCTTTTGCTTTTCTAATCAACCCCCCCCCCCCTCATCCCCTCACCCCAAACCCCCCAAAACACTCAGCCCAACCCGGGAGAAACGAAAAGGATTGGGAAAAAAGGGGCCCGAACCGGGCCCGGAACCGCTTAACCCCTCGGGCCTAGGCCCGAAACGGAACCGGTTTCCCGGGCCGGGCCGGTTCCGGGGCCGTGCGGGCCGAACCGAGTCCATCCCTACTTTTAATCATAGATTTAAAAAAATCACTGGTTATTGCCTAGTTTCATTCTCAATTCTGAATTCAAAAAGTTCACCTTCAGATATCGTCATATCAGGAACTTTTTTTTGGGTTCGTTTGCTTGCAAAAAGATACAAGATTGATACGTTGTAATGTTGTATAAATCATTTTCTTGAAAATTTAACCTTTTCTTTTTAGTACGGAGAATAAATATACTCCGTGATTGCTTTCCATTTTTCAATATTTTACCTGTTAAATATTTTACAAGAGGCCACGATAATATTCTCATTTCAGTCATATTTTATCCAGAAACTCTACTTTAGAATATTATAGAAAAACCACCATAGATATGTCACGTGAGTGGGTGCAGTTGTGTATTTAGACAGGAAAAAAAAGTAAAATATGTCTAAATACAAGAAAATCCAGAAAATATATTTATGCTAATCAAAGGGGGCCTAAGGCTCCAAAATAGAGCTCAGGCATGGATTCCCTTCAATCAGAGACACCTATGTATACCACCATCCTTTATACAAAAAGATCAACTAAAGACTGGGTGACTATAAAGTATATTACAGAGTTTTATTGGAGTCTGACTGGACACAGGAAAAAAACTTCACAAGATAGATGACACTGTGACAGGAACATACACTCAGTTGCTTATCTCTCTCACCAGCCAATCCAGAGTTGGGTATGCAAAATACATCACCAAGGCAGCGGGGAGAGCAAAGATGATTGTGATAGCAAAGTACAGCATAAGAACGACAACGCTGCACGGAATGGCAAAGATAACCATAAAAACAAGCACCACCACCAATGGGAACCTCGATGTGAAACGAATGAAGAAGTCAATGGATTTGTGAAGAGAAAATTGTGGTCGTCTCCTGTAAGCACCCCTAGCACCGCGTACGCCTCCGCCATTGTTCCTGACTAAGCGGTTTATGTCACCACCACCAACAACAAATGAAGAATTGGCATTCGAGATGGTGGTGGAGTTCACGCGCAAAGGGGTCCACACATTCCGGTGATTTGTGCATTTGTGGGACCCAAAGCGGTCACCGTTCCTGCTCTCCACCATCCAAAGGAGGAAGTAGTTCTTGTTAGGGGCTTTAAGGATACCATGGAAAACGAGTCGAAGGGTCAACAAGTTGCACCAAGGGCAGGAGATGAAGAACGGGATTTGGATTTGTTGGGTTGTGGAGATCTTCAGAGCAGCCCGTTTTAGTCCCAATAGGCAATTCTTGCATATGGTGTGTCCACACCATAAGACATAGGGAACATTCTCGACAATGTTGAAAGATTCACAACATATTGGGCATTCTAAGACTTCATCGATGCTATCATTGGAGCACATGTCATCGTCGTCGGAGAATTCATTAGAGGCAGCGCTTGGCTCAACCGTGCTCTTCTTCCTACCAAAGCTTGTGATGGCATTCCAAATGGATCTCCACATTTTGAAAGACAACTAACCAAACACTGATTCAGTTCTCAAACATCTCCAAATCCTTTGCAAACCTGAAACTTAAAAGTGAGATTGGATAGTCAACCTATATAACATTTGCCGCAATATTTACTATTAACTAGAGAAACTAAGATCCTGTTTGAAGGGGACTTGGCTAAAATGGCTGAATTTTCCAAGAGAAGAGTTTGGTAGCATCTATTTAAGCTAAATAAGTATGTCAAAAGCTACTAATACAGCTTATAATCAAAATAAGCACAAAATGTCTGAAGTGATTACCAAATGATGCCAGAAACTTCAGCTCAAATTTGGAAAATAATGCAGTAAGAAAGTTACTAAATTACATTTCAAGACATTCATAAAGCACCAGTCTAAATTTTAAACTGGGAAGAACTTTTGTTAGCAAGCTTGGCTGGGCCAGGACGCTAAGCCTTTACTCTGTCGGGTTTGTATTGAATGAAACCACTTGTGACAAATGGTGTACATTGGTGTTATGATGGACCTAATATAAGTCCTCCCCAGCTCCACCAAAAACTATCAAAATAAGTTAGATCACGAAGCATCTCTTTAAAAATCAAAGATTCAATCTTTCTTTAATCTACAATAAAAGAATGCATAAGTCTACAAAAGTTCATAGGGTTCACTCTTTAAACAAAAGTTGAAGTTCAGGGATTACATTATTTAAAAGTATCCAGCTTTAAGATATTTTATTATTTTCTAACTGCATATGTCAGCTTTAATTTGTTGGCAGAAGGTAACAAACAACTCTATGACATACCAGATTAGTAATGGTCAGGAATACAAGCCCTCCAACAAGAATCAGGTGTGGAGCAGATGGGCCCTCAGGTTTGGGATGAAAAATCTTTGTAAGCATGGAGGTGGTATAAAAATCTCATAAAAGTTTTAAACTTTCAATGATACAAACGTTCAAATGCTTTAAAGACTAAAAAAAATTACATCAAGAAAGCATATCTGCAGATATCAAAGATTCAACCTTTAATACGTCAGCTTAAATCATTTATCTACAAAACCAGCATTCAGATTGTTCTGTCTCTATAAGTTGATACCAGATGCAGATACATAATGCAAGCAGCAAGTTTTGGCATATCAGTGATGCAAAAGAGTTCAGATTAGATGCCCACTTCTCTAAATAATCTCTTCAAACAGGGGGATTGAAATAAAAGGCAAAAAAACATGCTCGATTATACATTGGATTGCATAAATTTTTAAACTTTTTGGCGAAGTGAAGAACTTACTTTGATTTCTCGAAGAATCAACAGAGAAATGAGAGAAATCAAGAGAGATGAAAATTTCTTGCGGTGCTCTCTCTCAGCGTCTCTGGCCTCGAGGACAACGAGCCAAGGTTGGAAGAAGCCACATTGCATCTCTCGAAAGTATTAGGACGTTCGTGAAATATTTTATTAGAAAAATATTCATGCCATATCCAATTTTAGAAAATTAATTAATTAATTTCTTGTTTTAATTTCTTTTATATACAGAGTAATTTTTTTACACTACATCATACTCATGATTATAGCTTACTAGATAGTTAGGATTATTCTTATCAATTTTTCATTACTTTTACTTCTAATCATGGCTTATTAAAAATAGCAAAGTTTCTTCTTGTAGGAGTCATGTTTTAAGATGAAAACACTTGTGGATCTATTAAAAGAAATGGGTTAGCTTTTACTCTAATTTAGGTAGTCTTCTCAAACAGTAATTGTTTGAATGTTGAAACTCTAAAGGTAAATCACAATTTAGGTTATGGCTATGTTTGGCATGCAAAAGTTAGTGTCTTCTAGCTTTTGTACTATTTAAAAAGTTCTTAAAAAGCTTTTAGTTGGGTGTTTGGCATGCAAATTATTAAGAGCTTCTATAAAAATAAAAGATCTTTTTTGAGATGCTACAGTGAGTAGCATCTCAAATAAGTCTGTAGCTTCTAGCATTAATTAGTCCCGACAGCTTGTATACCAAACGGAGTTAAACCAAACAGTCAGCTTTTTATCAAACAGCTACTGCATTTTTCTTTTAATATCTTTTCAGTCACTAAAACCTAACCGTCACTAAAAAGTTCATAAAAGTATCTTTTCAGTTAGTTGTGCCAAACATACCCTATATCATGATAGGCTTAGAGCAAAAAGTCACGGATTTTTATTGGATGGGGATTGGATGGCCCATTGCACTAGAACATAAGCTCCATGATACAGGTTAAACGTTAAAAACACTAAAGTAACTATTCCAATATGTGTGTGTGTATGTATGTATGTATGTATGTATGTATGTATGTATGTATGTATGTATGTATGTATGTATGTATGTATGTATGTATGTATGTATGTATGTATGTATGTATGTATGTATGTATGTATGTATGTATACACATACATATATGTGTGTGCGGAAGGAGGTATATAGGGCGCAATATTCAAACCATACAAATTGTGATAGACTGATAGGGTTCTATAGTACACCTCACCATTTGGGTGGTTTTGTACTTGAATTGCACCAGCCCCCTAGACCGATGAAACATTGACATCAAACTAATTTCCCAACGAGTAGTGTGGTCATTTGACCGGTGGGATAGGGTCGTTTCGGACCTACACGTGCACTTGTTGAATAGTTTGTATGCCTGTGTTGGATACCCACATATAGAAATCCAAGCAAAACTGTTAGGCCATGTGATATACCATGTCAAGCACACTCACCCAAAAATTGTTAGGCTTGTGCTAGGCCATGCAAGTATATTGTAGTGTTTCCATCAAGAGCCCCTCAAGAAATTCCATTGTTTTTAACCAAAGGTTTGTAATCAAAGCAATAATAAAATTGTTGAGAACAATAACTAGTGTCATTGTTGTATAAGGAATGTTGTGTAATACAAATATCCTTCTCCTAGCTTAGATCTATGGATGCCATTATTTCTCTACGATGCGAAAGATATGTACTTACTATATGTTACATGTTCTTCAACTTTTGTCTTTATTATTGTTGCTATTATTGTTGTTGTTACTACTCATACATTATTTTCATTTAATTTATCACTAATGCTTTCATTGACAAAGAGAGAGTGAGTGAAAATACCTCAAGAATGTACAACCTTTAAATCAAGATTAAAATCCGACTTTTAAGGAATATCCAGATTCACGCCAGCGCCCACTTTCATTACCTCATTGCAGTC